CCCCCCTCCCAAGAACCCAAGCTCCACAAGCAGGGAGACTGTGGTGGCCGCTGCGTCACCCACCCCCGGGGACTGCCAGGCGCCCAGTCAGGAGGCACCTGCTGCAGACCAACCCGCTGCATTTAAGATTTTATTCTAAAACATAATGGCCTTCGGGCCATTAAGACTAAAAACAGGAAATCTACTTACCTAATCCAAGCGATCCAACTTTATCATTGACCAACTTCAGATCTTTCAAAACCGTGTTTCCTCTTTTACCTGTGGAGGAAAAACATTCACATGGGATTGACTTTTAGAACCCAACAGTCTCTAAGGCGTATCACTGGTTTTTCCGGTATAGGGTTTGCCTATAACGTCATAACCAAAATCGAAGACAGAATTGCAAACTCTGACGAATGATGCTCACATCATGCATCGCACCCCCTTTTTAACCACACACCATACTGCTCTTTATTGAAATCTGACCAGGAAATAATTTCTGGCCTAACAGATAGCACCGTCTGTGAAAAGACTCATTAAGTGTGAATTCAGGAACTACGGTTATTCTCAATTTTATTTCCTTCAATTTTGCTTTAATTCAACGGCTATTTCATTTACCAAACTGATTGTTTTTTCAGTCCTAAGTGCTCAACATCCTCTCCCAGTCGTCATTCTCTACTCGCCATTAAAAGCAACTTGACCATGACCCGCTAAGTTCTCACTGCAGGTGACAACGACTGGGGAAGAAGAATGGGGGGGTGGGGAACTGGCGTGGGCCACATGAACAGATAGGTGGCCAGTTTACTACCCGGCTCAAAGAAACCACACATCATCTCCTTCACGTATCCTGGGGAATTCCTCAGCTGCACCACGTAACATAAAAAGGTTAGTAGGGGCGCCTGGGGGGCTCAGTCGGTTAAGTGTCCGACTTCGGCTCGGGTCATGATCTCGGTTTGTGAGTTCAGGCCCCACGTTGGGCTCTGTGCTGACAGCTCGGGGCCTGGAGCCTGCTTCGGATTCTGTGTCTCCCCTCTCTCTGCCCCTCCCCGACTTGTGCTCCGTCTCTCAAAAATAAACATAAAAAAAATCAAAAAACAAAGGTTAGTAAATACTACAAAATTATGCAAAAATCACACAATTTCTTAATAAAGATCTACTTTTTAGTAGGGTTTAAAACACTGTCCATTAAATCTCTATTTACTGTGATATAGTAAACAAACTTCACCTACACGCGTCTTCATTCAAGGCTACACTTTCAAACCCTCTGTCTTGTCACCACCTGCATGTGGGAGGGGCGGGAAGGTAAACCGTGCAGCGGCACGGCCCTTCCACGTCTGACAATCTGCCTCTCTGGTACGTGGAAAAAGAGAGGTCAGGTTCACATTCCGAATGAGGAAATCTTGCCATTTGCAAAGATGTGGAGAGAGTCAGAGAGTATAAAGCCGAGGGAGAGAAGTCAGAGAGAGACAAATATCATACGATTTCACTCACGTGTGGAATTTAAGAATCAAAACAAACGAGCAAAAGGAAAAAAAGAGAGAAACCAAGAGTCAGACTGTGAACCATAAAGAGCACACGGATGGGTCACCTGAATGGAGGGGCTGGGGGCATGGCTGGAACGGGAGGGCATTAAAGAGTACACGCATCGGTCAGAGAAAGATACAGTATGTTTTCACTCCTGTGTGGATCGTGAGAAACTTAACAGAAGACCATGGGGGAGGGGAGGGAAGGGGAGGGGAAAAGAAAAGTTACAGAGAGGGAGGGAGGCAAACAAGAGACTCTTAAATCCAGAGAAGGAACTGAGGGTGGATGGGGGTGGGGGAGAGGGGAAAGTGGGTGATAGGGACTGAGGAGGGCACCTGCTGGGGTGAGCACTGGGCGTTGTGCGTAAGCGACCAACCACGGGAATCCACCCCCCAAGCCAGGAGTATACACTGTATGTTCGCCAACTTATCAAAAAAAAAAAAAAGGGAGAGAGAACACGCATCATGGTGAACAAACACATAAAATAAATCTAGGAGATCACACACACACGCACACAATGATTTGGAGTTCTGATATCCAAAGGGGAAAAAAGATGGGCCGGCTCCAAATCGCTGAAGGGAGAATATTTTAACATTCCCGTGATGATTATTTGCAATCATAAAACCTACAAAACAAATTCTTAAAAACTGATCGACTCTAAGTCCTGCTCGAGTCCATCTAAATGCCCCACACGGGAGAAATGACGTGACATACTCACGATCTAAGGCAGCTAGGAAGTGGGTTTTGGAAGCGTTTTGATGGCTGGGAAAGCGGCGGCACGAGGAAGCGAGGCGACCGCGACCGTGGTAAAGGAAGGTTCGCGAGCCGCCTCGGGAGCACCACGGGCTGAGGACTCGCGCAAAGGAAGCGGCTCACGGGCTACTTAACCAGAGAAAACCCATCGCCAGGCCTCGGGCCGTGTCTCCACCACACTCACTTCCGGCCTCTGCGGAGGAGGGGGCTCCGGGGGCTCCAGGGGCTCCGGTCAGGGAGCTGCGGCCGCTCTTCAAGGGGGGCGCGTCCGAGAGGGAGGCGAGGCTTCCGGCGGGCGGCCCGGGCTCACTCCTCCTGCCAACAAACAAGCGGGTCGCGTCAGTCGCCTGCGGCCAGGCCAAGGACACAGAGGCGACTCCACCGCGGCAGGAGTGCGCGCGGCACCGGGACCCAACGTGCAGTCGCAGAGTCCGTGGCGAGTGACCGGAGAAGCCCGCTGGCCTCTCCCAAATCGTCTGCGACCTTACAAACTGAACCGTGCGGCACCTTCAGGGTCTGTGATTTTTAGCAGAAGCCGGCGAGGGGCAGCACAGAGGCCACCTCCCCAGCGGTGCCCCGCCCTCGCGTGGGCCTCTCGCGGCCCCACCGCCCACCTCACCCCTTCCCCGGGCCTCCTCTCCAGCCCTGCCCACGCCCACCCACGCCAGCAGGAACCTTCCCAGGCTGCTACCGTCACCCCCCACCCCCCCACCCTGCCCAGTGCACCCGCACGCTCCCCCCTGCGCACA